CTAGGTCAGCTTTATATCAGAAGACTGAACATGTAGGAATCAGTGAATGGGTAACTGGTTCCTCTCCTATGAGGCTGAGCCACACAGAGGCATTCCCCAGGAAGGGGTCTGATCACAGCCCTGGCATACCTTAACCAGCAGGGAGTATTTTCCCTCCTAGGCCTGGTACAGATGAAAATGACACTGGAGCCTGCGTCTAGGTCTGGGGTCCACAACTGTAAGATGGCATTGAAAAATTCAGATCTGAAGAAGGGTGGGAATTATTTACAGACTGGAAAACATTTTTCAATAATATAATTAAAGAATTCTATCTGTTGAATTCCTGAGTAAGACACAGAGCAAGGGCTTCTAAAGCAGGTGGTCCCACCAAGGGCTGAAAATTAAAGCTAGACAAATTCAAATTACAGGTAAAATACATGTTTTTCAGAGTTTGAAGAGATCAACCATTGCAATAAGCTACTGAGAGAAGAAGTGGACATGAAATGCTTCCGCGGAATACATGCATTAGTCAAACAGAGATCACTGGAGGAAGAGAGAACATGGGTGGAAGATGGTCTTGCTACATGAGAGCTCAGTCCACGAGACTAATGGTCCTTTTCAGCTGTAAGGAAGACAGTTTTGCACCTATTTAACCAATCTCTTCTCAAAGACAGTAGGGACAGAGAGAGATCACATCCACTCCACACTATGCCAATTTACCATCTCTTGCAAAGTGAAAAAAAATCTCTTTCTGAGGTCTGATGGTCAGAGGGAAGGACATGATAACCTCAAAACAATTTCTTCAAACACACCATATTCTCCTGGCTCTCCTTTTCACATTGGTCAGGATGCTAGGCAATCTTCCCATGCCCAAATGACAAATGCTTTCAAACCCCACCCCCCACACTTTTTTTTAAATTAAAAATCCAAATCCCCTAGGAGACTTGCTTATGTGATCTGGCTACATGGAGATAATAACATGGGAGAACATTTTGATCAAAAAATAAAGTAGACATCCTAAGATACTGGAATAGGGGCTCATTTAGATTTCAAGTACCAAATAAATGTTTTCACCACATGATACAGCGATCAGATTTCACAGCTGAAGAACAGCCATAAAGGACAGAAGTGAAAATTAATACACTGAGATTTATACAGCATAAAGTAGATTTTTGTCACTATCTTTTGTTTCTGGGCAAGTTGGATAGGAGAAGAACAGGTTTGATGGAAGTGTCTTCCTGCAGATTAACTTGTTACCTACCTTTGCACAGCTTTTCAAGCCACACACTTGTCTATGAAAAGTTGCCAACAAATCTAGTCCATGAACCTCAAACAGACCTTGCCCTTTACTTTCCATGGATGATAGTAATGATAAAGCCTGGACACCCAGCTCACAGATACAGGAGCAGACAGTCTTATTATAAGATCGGTCCTGGGAACTTTGTGTATACTATACATTCTCCCCAGAAGAAGAGATGATCAGGGCTAGTCTCTCCCTCAGCTTTAAGACATACTGGACCACACTGGGTTTGGACATTCCCTCAGAATTACCTTCCCTTGAGAATTTCAATAGGGCAGAAACACGTATACTCTTTTAATCCCTTCTGTACTATCAATAAAAGGGAAGGGAACAACCTATTTTAACTTGCAGAGTCAATATTCATGACCTTTTGCAACATCTGCTTTAATTTAAAATCAAACCTTTCCACCAAGCCAGAAGAGACTCTCTCCTCTATTCTAATATGGTCTGAGACTATGTGATCAGACCAACACACAGAACTTCTGCCATGGGAGCAAAGCAGATCTGTCCAGCAGCAGCATTTTCTCCATTACACCCTGGTCTAACCTCACTGCAGAAGCTTTTCCCAGTGAGAACACTGCATCTTTTTCAGTCCTTCATTCCACGGTTTCGGGTTTCCCTGTGTTTTCTGTTGCAACAGTATTTCCAATGCCCTGTCCTCTGCCAGTTTAATAACTATAGCACTGCTGTAGACAAGTGTGGTCTTTACCATTACCGACCTTGCAGCTGAAACGATATGTGTAGTAGTAGTTCTGTACAGGTAGAGGGAACTAGAATTCTGATGTGCTTTTATTACACATACAATTCCCAGACTTGCTGAGTTGGACAGCTGCACAGACAAATGTCACACCTCTATGATATTTTCAGAAAATACATGCATTTTAGATTGCTTCTACTTGTCATACTATCATCATCTTTGTTATTCCTCACCAAAATGGAATTTGCTTCCCTTTACGATTCTGTATAAACCCACCAGTACTTGGACACTGCCTAGCTTTGCACACTCCTTCATGGATACTTAGAGGTGAAATGCATCTGACTGGAAAGAAAGGGTTTTTTTCATGTGTTTGTTGGCTCAGTGACAGCTACAAACTCCTGTCAAGTGGCTTCCAAGAAAGGAGGAGTTGGGAAAGTTCTATTGAATGGACTTGTCCACATTCATAGTTTATCATCAGAAACCCAAACTGTCACCTTCTTTTATGGTCAGTTGACAGAAGCCCTGAACCCCCTGTCAGCCAAAGTGTATGTCAGAACAGCTGCTTACAAATTTGTTTTGCACAGAGTGTGTGATTTATGTAGCAATACACACATTACTTAATAGTAAGTCATAAACTAAAAGGAGTCAGATTGCTAAATCCATTCCCTGTGTGAATGAGATTTTTACTTCCATCACCTGATAATTTAATTGTTCAATTAGCTCCACCTGAATGCCTTGGCTGTGATAGAGAAATGTTCCCTTGCAGGTCATGGTAAATCAGAAGACAGGAGGCAAGTAAGCAATGCAAAGGTAAATGATTCTTCTACAGCAAACCAAATGCATTGTCCAATTGTATTTTCTCTCCTGATCTGCTCCTTGACTAGAACAGGCACCAGACAAATAAAAGACTGTAGAACTCTGGTCAAAAGTCAGTAGTTTAATCCGAACGTAGTTAGTTTAATCCGAAAACTTTCTTATCTGATTCAAACCTAGCTCAGACATTTCTTTTTCCATTTCTGAAATTCCATAATGTGCCAAAGTTAGTCAAGAGAGTAATCTCCTCATTGATGAAGACTTTGAAACATCTGCTGCATCACTTAATATTATACTACTGCTTTCCTTTAGCCAAGAGGCAAATGGAAAAGATGCCATTAGAGTGGCACTTACTGATCATCCTAGAGCAGAGTGGGCAGACTGTGGACCTGTGAATGTGACTCCTGCATCAATAGACCATAGCACAGGGGGTTTTGGTTGCAATGAACATGGCCTGTAGGTAAGTACAACTTGATGGACTTTGTAACTAATTTTTTAGACTTAATGAGAAAGTAATTACTTCTGCTGTAGTAGCAACTCTTGAGTGTACTGCAGGCATCTAGATCACAGGAAACTAATGTTATTGTAGCATACAAAGAAAACAAAGAACATGTGGTTACCAGAGAAATCTGCATTTGTAATAGATTGGCTACTGTGTAGGAAGGGTCTGTCTCTGAATAAATGCATTTGACACACACTTCTGTACTAAACAGTTCTTGCCCTGCACTCTACACCAGAGTGCCCTGATCCAATCCATGACCAGAAAATCTGACTCACTCATCCCTTCTTCAGGATAGGTACTGGCACTTACCCTCTTTCCCGCACAGCCTGAAAGTGACTTAAAGCATTTTCTGGATAGTGGCTTTCTCAGACCCCTATTTTGGATCACACTGATCCCAGGCTACACTGCAAGAAAAAGTACCAAATGGACAGATACTCAGAGTCTGGACAAATTAATTGCCATTCACTGTTCTGCCTTTGGGGCCTAATTTTAAGCAGTATTACTAAATACCATTTGTGTGTTTTTTAAGGCATGATTCCTTCCAAAGTACATCATTACTGTATGCCCTGCTGTGAAATATGACCCTAATCTGCACATCGTTTATCTGCATATTGTCTGGTCTAATTTAGTCCCTTTCCTGTCTCTCTCCCATCTGTATTTCTGTAACACCAGTTTTACTAACACACCTCACTGCAGACAGGAAAAATTTTCATTCATAAAACCAACAGGAGCAAAGATCAGGGTAACATGTCAGAATAAATGAGAATTCCTTAGGGTACAGAACCTTAAAGAATATCAAGGGGCCAGGAGGTGAGCAGGGAGGTCATTATTGCATCAAACTACAGATACTTTAACCACACCCGCTTTCATCTGGTGGGTGGCACTGGAACACAAAATGAAGCTACAGCAATCAAGTTCACAGCACTCTCCCTCTGCTGCCCAAGTGAAAACCTGAGTGCTCATGCACAATTAATGACATCATGCTGTTTTATTTAAAACAGGGGACAAAAATGTATAGTAAAAATAATTTTAAATTGCTTAGGAAGATAGCAGAGTCTCTATCACTGGAGACTTTTAAGATCATCTGCCAGAATACCTGAGAGCAAGTTAGGGTTATTGCCTTGGGCCAAGGAGATGAAATAGAGGAAATTTGTGACCTTGCAAGATCTTTTCTAGCTTTTCCTGGAACCATTCAATGAAAATGGCCTGGAAAAGCAGCAAACTAAAAACTGGTTAAAGAGACACTTCTAGTCTGTGTTCAGGTGTGGAAGCAAAAAAAAAAAAAGCCAAAAGAGGCTTGAAAAGTCTACATCTAGCAAAGCGAGAAAAGAGTTTACAACTGAAATCAAAGACAGTGACTGCTAAAGGGAAAAACATCCTCTGCTACATGATCCCTATATTTAAGGTCTTCTCATGCACACCGTCGTTAAATCTGTGCCCATATTATAATTTTAAAGAGCTCCTTCAAAACTCCATGTGTGAACTTCTCCCTAGTAGTGCTCCTTGTGATCACCATGAGAGCTCACATGAAGTCATTCCACAATATGCCTTTCCTAAATTCCTCCCTGAAGCCACCTATAAAACAGGTAGAGGTGAAACAGAATTTACTCAGCAATTACTGACCCCCTTTTGCTTTTATTTAGAATGCAGGGTCTCCTGAATTCTTGGTCATTAGAAATCATCAGCCTGTTGATTCTGCAAGTACTCACCATGCTAGAAAATCCTGTTTCTGCCTCATGCCATGCAATGTTACTTTAACCTGAAAAACAAGAAACAAAGAAGGTTTGTAGCCAGACCTTGGGCTGCTGACTACACCTGTGGCAGAAAAAGGTGCCTCTCTAGCAATCAGAAATTATATTTAAAACAAATCTTTTCTTGGTCAGATCCTATAAATCAGGGCTGTTCAAAAGAGGTGAATTTAACTAGAAAACACTTTTCTCAAATATGGTATTGACAATCTTGGAAATTCAAGATTAACAGAAGCCAGAAAGAAGCTAAATTAGCAGCAACTATACATAACCAGCTTGGGAAACAGGTAACGGAAGAGGCAGTGAGGAAGGCGAAAACTAAACAAAACAACCAACCAAACCAAAAAAAAAAAAAAAAACCCCACCACCTTCCATCAGACAATCAGAAGTGTTTAAATATATTAGGGTAAACCCAAATATACAATCTATTAAAATATCTGTAATAATCAGATTGTCCGTTACTACGTTCATAGGGTAAAATCTGTCAACAGTAGTACAGAAAAGGTCAATATTTCTCATAGTTATTTCTGCTCTAGACTGCAAGATGATGCATATCATATCATAGATTAAACCAACAACTCAGACTGATATTTAAATAGTATCAAAAGTGAGATATTAGTGAATCAGTACCTCAGAGCCCTACAAAGATGTCTGAAGACCTGATTGCTGACACTGAGTTTCAGCAAGTGATTGAAAAATAAGTAAACTCCATAGGTCAGGGAGAAAGATAATCTCTAGAAGTATAAACAGGACAATCTAGGACTAAGAGCTCAACATGGATCCAAAAGCAGCAGAAGGAACTCCCTTTCCGTGAAAGGAGTGAGGGCGTTCCAAAAGCAAGCAGCTGCCACCTAGGCACTACCTGGCAGACCACCCATCACCCCCTTTTCAAACTGCACAGCTTCCCAGGAACCCACAAGCACCAACGTTTTCCCTGAACGTCTTAAAATATGCTCAGAGTTCTGCATTTGGCCAAAGATGCCATTGACTGATCAGAGCGCCTACATCAGGGGTGGCAGAGTTTTGTTTGTGGATGAACACTGAGCTGGGGAAATGTTGGGCTGTAAAACACGGTTCAGTACCAGTGCAGTAGGGTATTGGGACAAAATAATCTCACAAGTATTTGGAGACAATAGCCAGAAAACAGTTAAAATACCTCTAAGTCTGCAGCATGGAAAACTGTTTACTAAAAAATAGCAATACTTTTAAGAGTCATGAAGAACTTGAGAGGTCTCACAAGGAGAGATGAAGAGACAAAAACCTGTGACATATGGCCTCCAACTAGAACTTCTCTGCTAGTAAATAAAATGCTGTGACATCAGTAGTGACAAAACTCCAAGTAAAAGCAATTGCAATTTCAAAATGTTTGGATTAAGGAAACACAATTGTAACTTGATGTATTTGGGACGCAATCAGAAAACTGCATTTAGGATGGTAAATTTGAATTTTTACTCCACCTAACTTACAGAAAAAGCTACAGAATATTTCCATATAAAGCTATAACATTCTGGAAGAACTTGCTTGTTACTTTACAAATGAAAAGTGTTTCTATTCCATTCTTTGAGATTTTATCACGCAAATCACACAGAAGTGGTTGACTGAACATTCCAAAAGGCTTAACATAACTTTTACAGTGTTTGCTTAAGCAAATATTCTGATACCTGTCACCAGTTCAAATTTAATCTTGTCATCCCAAGGTTAGAAAACAGGTCGTGGTACGTTATGTTTGCCATTTTGTTGTGAAACTTCAGTGCATGTTGATACCAAGGACACATGAAACAATTTCTAGGTCAGCTGACTTCACTGGTACCATTGTTTCCTCTTGACTGCTACAGGATTCCCACATATTTGTCTTTTTTGAGGAATACAAGTACTGAAGAATAATTTGGTCCTTCAATTGTTTACAGTACCTAAGAGCGATTTCTCTGACTGAGCCTGAAAGAAGTGACGACATTTAATTTCACCATTACATGAAAACCTGAACTGGAGGCTTGGTAGAAAGCCCCGCGGTTCTGGCATTTGAGATCTAATAGCATTGTAAGATTTCTTTCATGTTGCACGCTCATCAGATTTCAAGCACATTTCCATGTTTATAAAGCAGTCAAGCTGACCCAACACAAACGAATAAGTGGAAAGCCACAGGAAACCGAAGCACTACCAATTACCTGCAATCGAATACCATTTCTCAGAGAGACAATACAAGACACTGATGAAATGCAGATATTCACTTTTGGAACCAGGTGCTGGCTGGCAAGGTATAAGCTTTCACTCCACCAGCTGACCCGCTGCTGGCTAAGAGTGATTCAAGCATGAACTGTGCTGACGCCCCTGCCCTCCCGGTTCTGCAGCCTGTGACTCACGCTGGCAAACACACACACACACACACACACACACACACACCCCTGCCCCTGCTCAGACGGGAACCCCCTTGGAGCTCCAATAGGAGCTGCTCCACAGTACCTCTCCTTGCATTCAAAGTAACCCCATGCCCAGAGTGCCTTGGGGAATCTCAGTTTTAGCAGTAACAACGAATTAGTAGAAGAGCAAGGAAGTATTAGTGAAAGTATCTTCTACTTTGGATCCAGAGGAGTGGAGTGCATCTGCTGACAAATATCAGGGACCGGACAGGAAGGCAGCTGGCACCTCTGTGAGGGAGGAGACACGCTCCCAAGTGGTGCTGTGGGCAGTACAGGAAAAGCTGTCATCTTCAGCACCAGTGCATTGCCTGCCAGGGATCTGACACCCACTGCTTCCGAACACTCCTTTCCCTCCTGGCTAAAATGCACGTTAAATATGATGAGACTGCAACACTAAAGTGGAGTTGAACTACAGCTTAGAGCTCTCTGTTTGGCTAAAAGTGTTAAATACAAATGGAAATGGAAAAACTGACAGTTTTTGCAAGCCCTAAAGAGGAAAACCCAGGATATGTGAGTCCATTTGTAATAAAGTAACCTTCTGTGAAAAATAAATGCAGATGGGCCTGATGCTCCCCTTCCCAAGATCCCCACACACTGTCCAGAGAGCAGAAAACAGTTTTTGTAAAACACTACCAGAATTCAAGGGATGTTTACTGGCTCCCTGGCACCTCAGCCCTCTGCCAACAGAGTAGGAGAGCAAAAGTGCAGCCTCCCAGGAAAAGGCAGGCACATGGACAGGATGGGACACAGCAGTTCCAACACTTTTTGATTGAATTTCCCAAAGAAACTTTTACATGGTGAAGATCTGTGGATCTCTTCAGGCTTTCTGGGGTCAAAGGCATGCAAATTCCAAGGAGCAGAATCTCCCAATGCTATCAACAACCACAAAAAGGTTCCATTTGTTTCCATTCTCTTCCTCTCACATGACCAGCCAAGACTACTCCATCTTATCTACCTGCTTATGACCAAAATTTCTTGTCAAGTGCTCCATAAGTCTTCACACACCATATACCCTTCACCTCATGCCTCTACTACATGCATCTTCATCACAAAGCAGAGTGACTCATAGTCTGCTCATACAGATCATGGCCTAGACAGCTGCTGATCAGGATGTGGAGGAATCAGCCACATCCTGCAAATGGAAGGGGCCACAAGGTAGGACAGACAGAATGTTACTGACAGACCTGTGAGTCAGCACACAAGGGAGAAATGAAAGATGTTGTCAACAGCATGAGGAGCCTGGAGGTAGCAGGGAGTCTAATTGCTAGACACGTACAGAATGGTGAATCAAGGTAAAACCCCTCCACAGCAGATGATGTAACATTCTCTCAGCACACATTCCTGAGCAGAGAGTCTCACTGTGGTGTATTTGTACCACTGTCAGGACCAGTGTGAACAGGGTTTTAAGACCACCATACAGGAATAAGGCTTCAGGGAGTCTTTTGTGATTATTAGTTATGTTAGAACAGACTGGACCTTTGTCTCTCAGTTACCTTTTTGAGTCAACTCCATGGGTCGCCAGCCAGAAGACCCAACATGAAATGCAGTTTGGTGTTTTGTTAATAATACACTCTGTGTTTGTTCATGCTCTTTAATCACATGTTTTTTTGCTCTGGGGAACATCCTGTTTCTCTGGCCTAAACCAGGTCGGAGGTAAAGATGCTTTGGACTGAATCCAGACTACACATGTGTGTTTTTGTCTTGTTCTGGAAACCCTATGTCAATTTAAAACCAAATCGGTAGAGTTGGTATTGCTGTATTTTCCTGAAGAATAAAAGGAACCTGCTTATAAGACATATGAACAGGTAGCCCTGTGCCCCCCTCCAAGAGGAAACCCTTTGCCTTTCTAAAGACAGGAAAAAACTGAAGGGGATAGGCTAGCACACTGATAAATTTGTTAAGACTAACTGTTCATAAGAAGCTATTAATTTATTGCTACTGCTATGTTTCTTACACATCAGCAAATGTGGTAACATTATTTTTCTGTATTTTCATGCTAAGGTCATAGCATTAATATTTCATTCTAAAGTGCTAGATTTTTCTAGTTTTGTGCACAAGGCTGTGGATTTTTGGGCGTGTTACACTAATCTCAAAAACTCATATTATGTTTCCACTTCCAAGTATTAGGAAACCACCAAATACGACTCCCAATCACTGACACTGTTATGAGCAGAACATATTATAAGTAAACTTACCACTGAACTGCTAACACTGCAGATTCATGGATAACATTGATAAAAATTCTGGGTCCTACCACTGCTGCCTTCTGAACCACACATAACCTGGAGAATATACACAATGCCCACTGGAGAAGGAAAATTCCAACAACAGCAAATCTTCTTTCAGTACCCATCTAGCTGAATCATGCTTTCACAAGTTGGATAACAGGTTTTTATTCAGTGACTTTAATTGCTACCATGTCACTCAAAGTTTACAGAATGCCTCAATGCTTCTCCCTCTGCCCTGTTTGTATACATGATAGATGCATACAACTATCCCCAACAGATAAATTACTGAAATTGTGTCAGCATGGAGGGCGGGGGGGGACAACAACAACACACAAAAAACACAACACCACAAGGAAAAACCCTCGA